TAGATGTGGTTCTATATATAGGAAGAGACCGAAGTGTGATCAAGATTTTGGTAAGTAGTCACTACCGGGAGTTACAAGTAGTGGGTTTGTTTGCATATAAAATCTGCACGTCATTTGGGATTTCCATTACCATAACGTTCCCATGAATTTCATTAAGTAGTATTTTGGAGTCTGTCTTTCTGGAATGATGATTCTGTTTACAAAAGCCTCCTTTCTGTAACTTACTATTCCATGACACCTTACAGAAATCATTCCTCAAAAATGGATCCAAGTCGGCTGCTATCCTTCCTCTCCTGGCTGCTATGTAACACTTCGCGTCAGCACACAAACACGGCTTCCTTTTGTGATCTGGAGGTTTGTTTGTGTAAAAAGCCGCTGATACAGTCATACTTCCTGTAATGATTTGATTTAATACGACATCCTTAATCCTGAGATTTGATTGCAGATGAAAGAATACAGCTAAAACTACAGCGAATGAAAAAAATCTTTCCTTTGAACTTCCCTCCAATCGCCTTCTTGGAAGCTCTTTACTTTTCGATAATATTAAGTAAATTTGCATAAAGTAACAGTCAGCTGAGAGATCACGCATTTCCTAGCTCAGAGTCAACAACTTCTGATTTTTTGTTTTAAGGAAATAGATACTCTATAATCAACGATAGTAATTCCCTTGGAGTCTAATTTTGAGTAGATCTAATCTTTATTTACTTAAATATTTTTGAGGGTGAAATTAGAAATTTTAAGTAGGTAGGAGGGCATGGACACTAGGTAAGATTTGGCCTTGAATAAAGATAAAATTATAGCTAAGTACTACATCATGTGGCAAGCGTTGCTAACCAAACAAAACTTGATGATGGACTTTTAGGAGGACTCTTTTGTAAAACCATCAGCCTAATTCTGCAACTGGGGCTTGAGAATCTGGGCTCCTGTGCACCCACGTGGAGGGCGACTTTGAGCCCATCCTTCTAGGGTGAAGCCCCAGGGAAGACCATTCCTCACTATGGAGGCTCAGACAGTGCACGCTGCTCCACACTGCACACAGGAGTGTCAAAGACTGCGTTGACTGGGTTCCCTGTGTTCAGCTGAAATTTTCCCTTGATAATTGGGCAAGCCAGGGAAATACGTTTCTGGAATACTCCCTGACTCTACTACTAGTTGTATGAATATCATAAACTCCAAATAAAGAAGCATGTATTTCTCTTCTGGAAGTGGGCATAGTTTGGGATTATGCGAACACTCTTTGTAAGTTTGTCAGATTTGGCAAATAACTATTCAGGACAGGAGTTTCAGTTAAGTTTGAAGATTTGTCTAATTTCCAAGGCAATTTTGTAATATACAGGGGAAAAAAGGTTGCATATAAGACATTTAAGGTAATCTTCAAAAGTCCACACAAATCAAAAATTACTCCATATAGGACATATTCTGCACATACAGAGTGCCTGGCAGTCCTAGCTCGTGGGCATTATATTCAGATTACAAAGCCTTGACCTACATACATGACATCCTTGGCTTTTATACTCATGTATCAGTTCTGTCCTTTGACTTCCATCATCCATTCTTGTAATTTTTACTAGCTATTAACTATCAACTCCAATCAACTGCCTTCTCTTGGTCTTCTATTTTTACACACTGTCAACATACCAATTGAAAAGTAAAAAGTTCCTGCCCTCAATATGTGGCTATCTGAATGTCTACAAATTCCTCTTCTTGCTCTGAAGACAAAGGCTTTGTCCTTTCCAAAACAAAACAAAACAAAACAAAACCAATTAGAATAGAGTTTACTGACAAATACTAGTAGCTTAAGAAGGCAAATAACTCCTTATTCTTTAAAATCCCAATTAATTTCTAATCATGCAATTTTATTGCAAATTCCAACTCTGGAGAGTCTACTACTACTCAGAAGTCACACTGGTTTTGAGAGTAGAAAACCACTCATTGCTGTCCGCAGGTCCGGGGATTGACTGGAAGTCACTTTGATTAAAGATAAATTGAAGTTCGGCCGGACGCGGTGGCTCACGCCTGTAATCCCAACACTTTGGGAGGCCGAGGCGGGCAGGTCACGAGGTGAGGAAATCGAGACATCCTCGTTAACACGGTGAAGCCCCGTTTCTACTAAAAATACAAAAACAAACTTAGCCGGGCATGGTGGTGGGCGCCTGTAGTCTCAGCTACTCGGGAGGCAGAGGTGGAGAATGGCGTGAACCCGGGAAGCAGAGCTTGCAGTGAGCCGAGATTGCGCCACTGCACTCCAGCCTGGCCAACAGAGCGAGACCCCGTCTCAAAAAAAAAAAAAAAAGGAAAAAAGAAAAACAAAAAAATAAATTGAAATTCACAAAGGGTAAAGTGTATGAAGTTAATCATTTAAAAGTGAATGTTAAGCTTTTGAGCTTCAAATGTAAGTAAGTCTTCCCCAGAGGAAGAAAATTAAGATCATCTTGTACCTAGCCAGAGTTTAACAGTCAGAGACTAGACTTCGAGTGCACGCCACAGAACCTGGAAATCACCACTGGAAATGCTAGTACCTTTCACTTAAAAAAAATTGCATCATGGAAAGCTATGATAAAACTAGTTATTTCAGAAATTTAATAGGTGAAGAAAAGTCTAGCAAGAAGGAAAGCCAAAATTGAGAGCCTGAGTCTTCACTGTGCCGTGTGGTCAAATGTCTGACCTTCTGAACATCCTGAGAGCATACAGAACCAAACCTCGTCAAAGGCCCCAGTGCTTTCATTTTTCTCTTCTCTTCTTCTCCCTCCAGCTGGGGTATATATATTGACGACTCAAATAAAGGAGACAGAATAATACTAGAGTGTGAGTGACACTATTTTTTCATGCTGGAGTAGAAATGCCACCTTAAAAATATATCTTCATTTACATTTCGATAATATTGAAATCACAGTCTATTAAAAATTGGGAAATTTAATGCAAATAAAAATCCAACAAAACAGTTGTTTTGATTTATTAAATATCTGGTTCATTAATTCATGGCATTTTTTTCACCTTAAACCAGCTCTTTAGATTTCTAGACACTCTGCTTTGTGTTGTAATTTCCCCAGGATGGAAAAGGGAGCCAATGCATGACTCCCCACCCCATCCCAAAGGAGTAGGGTTGGGTGACTCAGTGTTTTGCTGTCCAGAGCCACTGTCTGCCAGGCACCATGTGAGCACCGTCTATTTTATTGCTGAATAAGACACGGCTTGTGGGGCACACTGATTTACTGCTGTTGACTCTGTGGTTTCTCAAATGGAACACAACGTTTTTTAATGGACTCATTGAGAAAACCTAACACGTTAGAAATGTTTCAAAATTCAAATGCCTTTTTGGGTCAGGAATACTCCACTACTTTGGCTCCTCCTTAGCTGGGTGTTGAGTGTGAATCGGTTTTAAGCAGAAGACTGACCAGATATAATAAATTAAGTTTGCTACCTAAATCCTTTGTTAGCATAGTAACATGAAAGTATTATGTACAAAGTAATAATAGTTAAGGTTCGAGGAAAATGGTAAGTTTCAAACCAGATACAACTTCAGCGCTATTTATTGAATATTATATGATTTGTTGACTTATACATATATTGGTTTTTAAGACACTCTTAAAAACCAGACGCTCTTTTTGTTTTTTTGAGACGGAGTCTGGCTCTGTCGCCCAGTCTGAGTGTGGTGGCGTGATCTCGGCTCACTGCAAGCTCCGCCTCCCGGGTTCCCGCCGTTCTCCTGCCTCAGCCTCCCGAGTAGCTGGGACTACAGGCGCCCACCACCATGCCCGGCTAGTTTTTGTATTTTTAGTAGAGACGGGGTTTCACCGTATTAGCCAGGATGGTCTCGATCTCCTGACCTCGTGATCCGCCCACCTCGGCCTCCCAAAGTACTGGGATTACAGGGATGAGCCACCGCGCCCGGCCATAAACCAGATACTCGTAAGGCACTTTTAAGACCAGATATTTAGATAAATTGAAACAACTATTTTGTTTGATTTTTATTTGAATTAAATTTCCAATTTTAATAGAATGTGATTTCAATATTATCTAAATGTAAATTAAGATATATTTTAAGGTGATATTTCTACTCCAATATTTGTTTTGAGTGTGTAGAGCAAAAGGTAAGATGATCAAGTCTTCCAAATTTGGCTGAAATTGATACGCTAAATGACAATACAAAAATTTTTCTGAATCTTATGCTATGTCCTTGTACCAGATACAATATAAATGAGCAAGATTTTTAATCAGCATCACATTTAAATTAGCATTGATATAAATACTGTGAAAAGAATTTAATAGTGCAACAGAAAAGGTGTAAACATGCCCATGGAATTATTTTTTGTTGATTATACCACAGTGTACAGTAAAAATAGCAAGTATAATAACTAAAAGAGATAATATCTAACTACACTGCCATGTAATATTTTTTAAGGAATGGAGATCTAAAGCAACCTTCCATAAATTTATCAACAGACAAGGAAAAAAAAACCTTCTAAATAATTAAAGACAACATCCTCCCTCTTGTTTGTGGATTGAGATTGTTCTTTAAACTTTCACAAACTCACTCCCATTATCCTTACACACACCTTAAACTAGTTCAGTTCCAGGCCAGGGGTTTTAGCCACATTTTCTGTTTGATGGGAGGACATTTGCAAATGCAGTAACATCAATATAGAGCAGATCTACTGTAATCTATACCATCATTTCACTGATTATCTGAATCCACTTTATTTTCCCCATTTTCTCTGAGTCTCAATGTTCATATTTTTATAGAACCAAATAGACATGAATATATTTGTCAAGGACTTGCTGTCTTAATCGCAAATGTCTTTCACTGATGACTATCATGATTATGCTTGAAGAGCCAGGGCCTGTGTATGTGTGCATGCGTGTGTGTGAGTGTATGTGTGTGTGGTGGCGGGAATCATGTGTACATCTTTGTACGTATGCAGGGACTGAATATTCATGGCCACATTCTGCTTGAGTGAATGTGCAAATCTGTCTTTGTTTGAATGAAATGAGAATTCACCTTTTGGACATTTAACCAGTCATAGACCAGTTATTTTTTGCCTCAAAGGAATGCAGGGCACTCGACCCCTGAATTTTGCCCGGGGCAAAATGTTACCTCTTGGTATGAGCTTTATTTAAATAGCGAGGGTATTCTTTAAAGGTTTGAGATTTTCAAATCTTGTTCATGCGTCAAAGAGTCATCTTGTTTATGAGTTCCTTACCTTCAGCTCCTCTTCTTCCTCATGGCCCCACCGGACCTTACAAACTTCAGCATCTGAGAACATTTCCTGTATTGTCAGGCAGCTGAATTTTTCTTTTGTGCTAACTGTAATCAGCAAGCATGACTGAGACGGCAATTACTCTCAAGAACTTTATTTTGCTCTTGGAATGTCAGGGGATAATTCTATGCAGTTCCTTTATGGGCAAGGCATTTTAATAGACAAGAAATGAAATGGCTCAAAGAAATATTGGCCAATAATAATGAAATGGAGAGGGGCCAGGTCTGGATGCCACGGGGATACGGGACCCACAGAGTCAGTTTTCCACATGGCTTCAGAAAGTTGCTTCAAAAACATTGTCCAGAGCAGAGCTTTCAAACTTTTATCTGTATACAAATCATCTGGGCTTCTTGTTAAGATACAGACACCCCAATTCTGTAAGTCTGGCTGGGGCCTGAGAATCTACACGTTACGAATAAGTGCTCAGATGGTGCTGATGCGGTGGGTCTGTGAACCACATTTTGAATGGAAACATTTTGAATGGAAAGAGGATAGTAAATTCCAAAACATAAAAATAAAATAAAAAAATAGAGGAAACAATGGCATCAGCCCCATTTGTGTAGGTTTCCACAGTTGTGAATGACATATGATCGATTTCCTTCCATACAATTCAGTCCACTGAAGAAAGGTAAAAATGAAATTACTATATTTTGTGAATAGAGAGTCGCTCTACCTCTTTTTAGGTATTACCAAATAGACATCATTAGATATAATATTTTTCCTGCTTGAACAAAAACAGCATGTTTTAAAGCAGTGAGATCAATGAATACTGAACCACAATTCAACTCTCGGCCATAAGGTTATTGGTTAAATAAATATCTTATATTAGAGCTAATAATCTTGTACAGAAATACATTTCCTTTTAATGTCAGCATTGCTAAATGTCTGTTTATCTAACAGGACACTATTCCAATTGCCCTACACCAAGCTCTTAGAAATGTAGCTTTATTTTATGTAATTTGAATTATGAGAGTTCACTTTCATTCGAAGCACTTAAAAGGAAATCTCTCAAACACAGAAATGCTGGTTTAGCCACAAGATCAAAGGGAAAGATTGATTTTGTATGTCCGTGCAGTTTTTGAGAGTGCATCTACACATTTTCGTTTTCACAGCAATCTTTGTGTTTGATGGGAGTTCTGATGTGGAAACAGCTTGCAGGGTTAAACCTGGATGGCACTCCTATGATCAGACATTGCTCTGTTGTAATAAAAGTGTCCTCAGTTCTCTTTCCCTCTGATCCTCCTGCCTGTACTTCTCCTCAAGTTTCTGTTTCTCAGAATCTGCACAGTAGAAGGTGCAATCTGGGCTCTTCCGAATCTGTTCAAACTGACTGAAATCAGCCACATATTTTCCATTTTTGGAGAGAGATACCACAGGCACAAACTCAAAACCCCAGTAGATTTCCTCTGGGATATAAGATGTTCGGCTCTGGCAGACAGCGCTGGTGGATTCCACAGTGGCATTGAGGAGGACCACAAGCTCAAACTCCTTCTCCTTTAGGTTTTGGGGTGTGAGGTCTCTCAGGGGGCTCGTCTCATCCAGCACATGGTAGAAGGTCATGGGCAGAATGAGGAAGGGGCTCTCAGAGGAGGAGTCCACGTGGAATTTGACAGTGGCTTGGTTGAGCAGAATCCGCTCCCCCTCCTTGGTGACATGGGTCTGCAGGAGCTTGCCAGAGAGCTGGCACTGAATCAAGAGGCTCTTCCTCATGTTGGCTACCTGAATCACCAAGCACAGCTTCCCATTCTGCTTGGTGATGACTGCACAGTGACTGAACTTGATGGTCTCAGCCCGCTTTTTGGGTCTTGCAATTTTGGCCAGGAAGGTTCCGGTGATGAAGATCTCAATCAAGGTCGTGATGACCAACTGAGCAACCAACAGGAAGATGGCATGAGGACATTCCTCTGTGATGGAACGGACTCCATAGCCAATGGTTGTCTGGGATTCCAGGGAAAAGAGAAATGCCCCAGTGAGAGAGTCCACTTTCATGATGCAGGGGGTATGATTTGAAATAGGCTCACCAGGTTCTAAGTCCCCGTGAATAAACGCGATGGCGTAGTAGATGACTCCAAAAAGGAACCAGGTCATCACAAAAGTGGCGGCGAACAGGGTGAGTTTGTATCTCCACTTCATGTCGATAACTGTGGTCCACAGGTCTTGCAGGTAGAGTAGGTATATGCCATCCACTTTGTCAATTCTCACGTTGCTGTGCCCACTCTTGGACATGACACGGGGTCTGTTGGCCTTGAGCCCAGCCCCAGCAGTGTGCTTCACCAGGGGGGTGCTGGACATGCTGATGTGAATGGCATCCATGGCCAAGCTCTGGAAATACTTAGAGAAATGACAAGGACGTTTCATTATCACCCTATATGGGGGAACTTCCAGAAAACAGGATCATCATGTGAAGTAAGTGTGAATGTACATGGAAGTATACAAGAAAGGAGAATTCTGAAGGCAAGACTAACTGATCTGTACTTAGGTGGTCAGTAGGGTAGAGTGAGGAGCAGAGACTTTGCAGAAAGGCAAACCGGAGTTAAATGCTGACCCTGCAATTCATCAGCTGTGTGACCTGGAGAAAGCTACTTAACCTCTCTGGACCTCCACTCTCCAATGTTTTAAATGGCAATACAACCTATTCCTCAGGGATTTTGTTACTATTAAATAAGGTAAAGTGTTAAAACAGAGCCTCGTATTTCAAAAAAAAATGTTATGCTGTTTTTTGTGATAACAAACTCTTATGCATATATCTCACAGAGTAATATGTTTACTTATATTCCGCTACTATGTATTCTCAATTATAGAAAATTTAAAATTATTGACTGAGTGTTAGTCCAGTACTGCTATAACTAAAATCTACCACCCATGAAACAGTTCTTGATATGGAGAATATTAGTATACGTTTTTAAAACTCAGTTAGTAGTAATGCATTTTTTAAAACCTATTTTTTGCATGATATTCTTTGTAATAGCAATTCATTTTCCCCCTAATCTAATGAATAATTAAGAATCTACAACCGCTCCTAGTTTTGTTATGACTTTGGAAAAAACTCAGTTATGAAACAACCTAAAACATTCTTATAGCAAATAATTAGGCTTTATTAATGACTTGATCAATATGCTGGTTATTCTTGGAAAAGTGCTTCCAATGTCATTTTAGACATGATATTTAGATATGGCACCAAAATTCTACCTTACTCCGTAGAACTAAGCAGAACAAGCAGGAGAAATCTATTTTAAAGAGCAAATGAAAAAGTCAGTAAATGTAGGCATCTAACATTGTAGTAGGAAAGACATACCTATAAGAAGTGCTGGGCTTCCATGCTCAGCCCCAGGGAACGCTCTGCTCCATGTTAACAGCTGGAAACAAGCTGTCTGGGAGGCCTCTAGCGTCTTATAGTACCTGCCTGGTGACTGACATACATTTCCCCCACATTCCTTGAAAAAGATAATGTGGGTGATGACAGAGTAACTTTACCTGGGCGGCATGTTTTTCTTCACCTCATTGGTATTTTAAGAATTTAAAAAACTTCCCTTTTATTAAGGAACTGATGTACAGATTCATGCAATGCTCTTTCTGTTAGAGCAGTATTATCTCAATAGAAGTTTTGAAAGTAATCCTCTGGGCAAATCCCTTCAAGGAAATGGAAACTGTATCCATTAGCAGCAAACACCTGTTCAGGATGCAAAAGGTCTGCTGGGCATTTTAATTTTCCTGTTACATTATTAAGACTGTGTTATTTACTAAATGCCCCCTTGAAATTGATTTTTCCTTAGAAAGTCACGTTTTCATTTTTGTTGCAAAGAAGGGCCATAAATTGTTCAAAATTTGTTTACCTGGAAGCAAATCCCACTGTTCTTGGGATCAAGTTAGAAGAAAAGTACAGGATGTAATTGATAAACTAGGGCCTTACTATACCCTCAGCAACACTTCTCAGTACAACAAAGAGGAAAGTGACCACAGTAAAGGTTGGAAATGAAACACTATGCTGGCATGCCCAAATGCACAGACAAGCTTGTAACGTGAGCACCAGCAGAGACAAATGCAGCCTGTCTGCAAGTGACTGCATGCATTTTTTTTTAAACTGCTGAGGAAACTGCATGCCATTCAATCCACTGAAATAAAAACAGAGGCTTAAGTTTTCCAGTGTGAGTGACACACAAGTGTCCTGCGGGCACTCAGCCCTCTGCCAGATTCTGGAAAGCTTGGCTCTGTTTTTATGAAGGCAGCACCATGAAGCTTCTGTTTTAAACTCTCTTTCAAAGGGGCAGCAAGCCAGGCTTGGGATGAACTGGACCTGTTTCCTCTTTCTACTGAGAGCACTTTTGCTGCAGTCCTTTGTATCTAGTGCTGGACTTAATGGCATCTATCACACCTCCTCTCAAGGCTTGGTGGACAGAAATCACAGGACAAGACCTAGAGCTTCTGGGTGTGTTGGGGGCAACATTTCTCAGTGGGAAAGACAGCAGCTGGCAGTCAGCAGTCAAAGGGTGCCATAGTCCTCTCTGTCCTCCTCCCTCCCTCAAGTGTGTGATGCCTTCAGAACCCTCTACTACCTGGTCACTCACTCCGCAGGTCAGGTGTCTTCTTCAAGGCAGGTAGAACGTCCGCGCTCCCCTTCACCCACCTGGCTACCATGGGATTCTGCTACTGCCTGAAAGAAAGAGGGACACATGGGTTCATAGGTGGTTACCAAGTGCACCCCAGTAAGACTGAGCCCCGATGATTTTCTAAGAGTTACATCGTGGCATTTACCTTCCAATCCCTGGAAATCTGGCGCAGTTGCACAGAATAGGGTAAAGGCTCAAGGAACGATTTAAGAAGGAAGCTGAACCCCAACCACAGCCCTCACCACACAGTTCCCAGCCCCTGGAGGGAGCTCCGTAGCAAAACACCCTGGAAAGAGAGGGTTAACCCACCCTCATTGAGGCCCGCTATGAACTGACCAGCACACGGGGAGGCAGGAAGGGGAAATGCAGAGGAAGTAAACAGTGAGCGCTGGAAGGGAAGAGTCTAGAATATTTTTACCGCCTGTGGAAATGCATTGCTACTGTTGAGTCATAGGACATTAGAGTGGAAAAGATTGTCAGAACCATCCCACTTGACACAGCTGGGTCCTGGCAGAAAGAACGAGGTCCAAAGTCTTTGGAAGCTAGCCCAGGGTTCCTGTCAGTCCACCGCAAAATCCCCTTAAACATTCACAGTTTCATGTAATGTCCTCTAAATTCAAGAGGTTCTTTTGCATCTACTTTTTGAAAATAATTCTTCCTAAGCTATCTGCCTTTATCTATCTTCTATCAATCTATTATCTATCAATTATCTATCTAATCTATCATCTATTATCTATCACCTATCAATCTATTATCTATTTATTACCGGTTTAAATATCTACCTACCTATTATCAATCATCTATCAATTATTGATCTATTACCTATCAATTATCTATCATCTCTATCTATCTATCTGTCATCCATCTGTCTCCACCCATATGTTTTTATGCCTCACACACACATAGGCACACTTACACTTCCTACGTTTCTTCTGATCCACCAATTACTTACAGTTATTACTCTCTTATAGTTGAAGTATTCCAGATTAACCTGTGCAGCTTCTTACAGGCTGGATCCTGCCAGTGTGGCCACAGCATGTTTGGCAACGGACCTCTTTGTCAGTGCTCTATGAAGACCCAGAATCTTCCTTGTGCCCATCAATCTTACCCATAGGCTTTAGGAATTGCACTTCCTCATAGGCTCTTAATTCACAGAATTTTATTCCTCAGCAGACTTCTTTCATGAAGTTTAAACCATTGTTGATACATACTCTTATTTCATATAATTTTATGTTACTGCCTTAGGTTATTTTCCCTTAGTGATTCTTCAATAGATCTGGCTTAACTTCTAACATGGTAAGCAACAATAACAGTTTCCCAAAAGATAAAAACATAAAGAATGAGAGAAGAATATTTTCTTCTAATTTCCCCTATCTTAACCTTTTTCCCATTTAAAAAAAAAAAAAAAAGCGCAACTTGCCACCAGTGCTCATTTAACTTTACATAAACATGCTTTTCCAGGCTGAAGCAAATCTGATTGATTTTCAATGTGAAAATAAAACATAAAAATCATTCTTGGAGTTATTTCTAAACAGAACTAACATCAGAATCATCTGAATCATCGGAATCTACTATTTCAGAAAAATCGGATTCATCAAATGAATCTTTGGCCAACAACTGTTGGAGACCAATGTTAACATCATGTATAGGAATGCTGTGTTTTCCAGGATTTGACATTTTCAGCAATCGAGAATTACTATATTTGGTGAATAAAAATACCACTACTAAAAACAGAATGTTATAAAGAAAATGATGTCTTTTGTTTCCAAATTTGATATACTAGAGTGACATGAAAATAATAATAGAAGAGATATACTGTGTAGCAAAATCATCTCCAGGTAAATGCTGCAGCTTCAAGCGATGCCAGTGAGCATTCTCAAGGCAAATGGGAAAAGGGTTGATCCTCCCAGCTAAGCAATATTTCACATAAACCATTATCTGTTTTCTTTAATTTCTGGAAGTAATGTTTATTTCTGCAGTTTTTGTTGTATCGTTTCAGTTTGTGGGTTGGGGTTGCAATTCTTTGAATGGTGATATCTACCTAAGTGAAGTTCTTACAACCATTGAATGGATAGGTCAGTATCACTTTCTCCTACTTCAAACCAGTAAAAGATTTATGATCTGAGGTCATTGAGTGCTTATGCTGTGAGCATTTGTTTTCTGAAGTTAAAGGAAAGAAAATAAACACACTCTGAAACAGAATGAAACAGAAGGTACTTAGCTATATGGAGAACTACACTTCCAGTGTTGGGGACGCAGCAAGGAGAATGGGAAATGGAAGGGTAGTACCCATTGCCATCTTGAGGGAGGAAAAAAATTCCATCAAAGACAGAGGCTCTTAAAAGGATGAACAATCCAAAAACCCACCACAGCAAGCTGGAACACACTGTTCCATCAGAGAAATCAACCTGGAAATGACCGGAAAGCTACTGACCGGTTGGAAGAAATACATGAGCAAATAATAGACAAGAATGGAGTCAGAGTGGCCCACAGTGGGAAAGATGCAGATAAATAGTAACTATAGCAATAATAAGATAATGTGATAAATATTCAGAGAAGTTATGATAGCAATAAAAGTTCAAATCGATAATGACAATCATCATCATCATAAATAGATAACACTTAAACCACCACATGCCTGCCACTGTTCTAAGTGCTTTCCACGTGGAAACTTATTTAACCCTCACGCCAACCCTGAGAGGTAGGCACCATCATTATCCCCACGATTAGGAAACTGAGGCACAGAGAGGGTAAACGACTTGCCCAAGTTCCCAACAGCAGACACAGGGCAGTGGTACATTCCACAGCAAGGCTCTTGTGCCCATGCCTGCAACCGCCCTGACGCAGGGGCTCAAGCTTAGCCATATCAGAATCACCTGGAAGGCTCGGAGTTGCTGATTCAGCGGGTTTGGGGTGAAGCCTGAGAATGTGCACGTCTAACGAGTCCTCAGGTGATGGTGTCTCTGGTGCTCCAGGAACACACACTGGGAACCACACGTGATATACGGTTTCCCCTTGACAAAGAGCCTTATGGCTCAACTTTCCCTTAGCATCCTAAAATAACATCATTTCACAGAGGCACTGAGAACAGCTGTGTATCCACTCCAGGAATGTACAACCTCTGCCATCCTCATAGTTGAATGCCAACTACCCAGGGACTCAAGGCCATGGATGTTTTAAAGCAGGAATATATGGAGAATCTGATCAAAACTGTAACATATTACTAACAAGTATTATTATAAATGTTATATAAATAGTATATGTTGTAGAATATATAAGCATGTATTGTAACATTTATAGCTATAGGAAATATACATAAATAATTCTAGTAAAAACATTAGCTAAAATTAAGTTCAGATAAATCTTTAATTCCCATAAGAGATTTTCAGCCATCATTTATGCTAGTCAACCCTTGTGTACATGCTATCACTTTTCTCTAAGTCTCAAAAATGAGCTCCTCCAGATTGGAGAAAGGGAAACCCTCCTACACTGCTGGTGGGAATGTAAATTAGTGCAGTCACTATGGAGAACAGTATGGAGGTTCCTCAACAAACTAAAATTAGAATTTCCATAAGCTCCAGCAATCCCACTACTAGATATAGATCCAGAGGAAATGAAATCAGTGTCTTGAAGACATACCTGCCCTCCCATGTTCATTGTAGCACTATTTCCAACAGCCAAGATGTGGAATCCACCCAGTGTCTAACAATGGATGAATGGATAAAGAATATGTGGTATATACACAATGGAATATTATTTTGCCATAAGAAAGAATGAAATCCTGCCATTTGCAGCAACATGGATGGAATAGGAGGCCATCATGTTAAGTGAAATAAGCCAGGCACAGAAAGACTCATATTACATGTCCTCATGCATATGTGGGAGCTAAAAAAGTGGATCTCGGCTGGGCATGGTAGCTCATGCCTGTAATCCCAACACTTTCGGAGGCCGCGGTAGGCAGATAACGAGGTCAGGAGTTCGAGACCAGTTTGACCAACATGGTCAGTTTAACCAACATGGTCTCTACTAAAAATACAAAAATTAGCTGGGCGTAGTGGCAGGTGCCTGTAATCTCATCTACTCAGGAGGCTGAGGCAGGAGAATCACTTGAACCCAGGAGGCAGAGGTTGCAGTGAGCCGAGATCGTGCTACTGCACACAAGCCTGGGCGACAGAGTGAAACTCTGAGACTCCATCTCAGGGGGGAAAAAAAAAAGTGGATCTCATGAAAATAGAGAGGAGTTTCATAGTTACTAGAGACTTTGAAGCGGGGTGAAAGGGAAAAAAAGAATTGAAACGTGCTTATTATCACTGAACTGTATACTTGAAATGCTAAAGATAGTAAACTATATATGTATATTGTACCTCAATAAAAAGATTTTTTTTCAAAAGTATGCATAAAATGGGGATGGTCAAGCTGTCACATGGATGCTTTGTTAGGGAAAATAAATTCAGTTTAAGAATGATTTTTTTTTTTTTTTTAATTCCTAGTAAGTACAACATTGATGTCTTTAAAACTTAGAGCTCTGTTAAGTCAGATTTTGGAGGTTTTCAATTTGCCCATCTCGAGGAAACTTCATTCTGTGTTTCAGAGTGAACTAACAAAGCAAAGGCCCCACAGAAAAGACATTTCTCACTTACAGAAAAATGGGGAGACACTGGCTCCCCAAAACCAAGGTTCCTCAACCAGGCCTTCAGTGACCTCATTCCATGCCCATTAACCAGGGTGATGAGGTATAAAGAGTGAAATCTAAATCAAATCGTAACTTTGGATTTGAGTTAGTGAAATCTAAATCATATCGTAACTTTGGATTTCCAGACTAAAATTAACATGTGGTGGATCTCACTTTTAAGCTCTGAAAAGACATAACTTCCTGTTTGTAAGAAAAGTTGCTTAAAAAGCTTTTTTGCTTTTTTGCATGTCAAATGTTTCTGTTAAATTAATTTTTCAATGATCTCTTTGTCCAGAAATAAAAAATGCCTGGATTAAATTTGACTTTAAGTATCACAGTTTTAAATATTAAGTAGAAAAAAAAATGCTTGACGAGAATCTACTTGGGGTTCAGTGAGCTCAGGAGGTTTAAAACAATTGAGAATAAAGGCTTCACTCTCCTCCTTGGGCTCCCTCGACTGTGGTCACAGGAGCACATGCACCATGACCTTTGGCCTTGGCCTTGGGCCATTTTCCTCCCTACACTACAGAGCAGTGAAGGATCCACTTTAAAAGCTGGTCTGACTGTTCTAAGTCCAGCTTTTAACTCATCCATGCCAACCAAGGGCACAGATGGCTTTGCCAAGTGGCCTCAGAAACAGACATGTTCACTGAAAAAGAGCAAAGTGGACAAAGTGGATTCTCAGCAGATTCCAGAAGGCAATCCTTTGGTTTGTATCTCCTGGGGAAATTCTACTTTGCTTCTGCAAAAGCACTTTTTCCTTAGACTACTGAGGACTGAGGATGGCCCAGAAAGAATGACAGCTCCTTGGAGGCTCCAGAATCACTCATTCTCCTCTAGGGGAATTATCAGGATTTCAGGGGAAGCACCAGTTGAGATGACAGCACACTTGTAAGCTAGTTTCCTGTCAGTGGCCTGTGTTTGGAAGATATGTTTGAACTTGGAAACTATTGGTAAAGCTGTGACAATTTGGGAGGTTGTGGTTGATGTATGTTGCTCGCAACTATTTGCTGTGCCTCTCGGCTGAGTCCATCCACAAAGGATCCTTCCCTGGGCCTGTCCCTGCCGGGGTGTAGTGGGAATGGGGTGTGTGTTTCCTGCTCCATTGTGTCAGGTGTGGCCCTGTCACCTGCTTTGGCCAATGGAGTGTGAGCAGCAGTGACCCACACCATGCCTGAAGAGAGGTGTCGGGCTCATCACACGGCTTGCCTTGCATGTGGGTGGGTCATGGATTGGGCTGTTCCTTCCTTCTGGTTAAGTGGGAAGAAGGAAACTTGGAACTGAGCCACAATTCAACTACAGCTGACTTGAAACACAGGTGAGAAAAATTCTTGTTGCTGTAAGCCACACAGTTCCTAGAGTTGTTAGCAAGGCAAAACCTAGTGAAACCTAACCACAGAGACACTCACTATTAACACATATTTTTTTATCTTAGGATTATACGCCTGACCTAAAAGGTACTGCATTTAAAGGAAAGATGTAAAGTTCCAAAATATCCTCTTTTTTTTGAGACAGCACTCTGTCAAGACACAATCTTGGCTCACTGCAACCTCTGCCTCCTGGGTTCAAACGACTCTCCTGTCTCAGCCTTCCAAGTAGCTGGGATTACAGGCACCCGCCACTACGCCTGGCTAATTTTTGTATTTTTAGTAGAGATGGGGTTTCACCATGTTGGCCAGCTTGTTCTGGAACTCCTGACCTCAGGTGATCCGCTCACCTCAGCCTCCCAAACAGCTGGGATTACAGTTGAGAGCCACTGCACCCAACTGAGTTCTGAAATAGTCTTAATGTAAACTCTGAATGTTGGTCTATGACTAAACACTGAATACAAAAAGAACCCAAATTGAACAAGATTGTAATGGAAAGAATGGCTTGCCTTAACCCTAAGAACAACATAGAAAAGGTGACTAATTCTTTTTTGATTACTTCTGAGTCAATATTTACATGTATCATGACAAGATAACTTCTTAGGGAAAGTTGTAAGGGCATCATATCCTATCATTCTAATATTTTGTGGAGCAAGAAGCCCCAGTTTAAGGACCTAGTGGCCTCAGGATCTGTAATCACATAGACACACTGGGCTGCCCAGGTACCACTATCATTAGGTCATTGATAGCTTTCATTTGGGAAGGGACAACTTAAAAAGGTCCAGGTACTTTTCAAAGCAGTTATAGATATTATCTTATTGAATCCCTCTCTTTACTTTGGGAAGAAATTATTTTCTCTATTTTCTAGGTGAGGAAACTAAGCTTAGAGAAATTAAATAATTTACATGCATTCACAAAGTTAACAAATGGAGCACCTGGTGAGCAAACCAGCTCTGTCTATTCCCATGGCTGCACTCCCATCTAAGCACCATCATCGGCATTAGCTTGCAAAGGAGTCTCATGGTGCAGTGTGACAAAGCTAAGTTCCTGCTCACTATGCGTCAGCATCCATTATAGATTAAGCAGCTATAATTAATTGACTCATTGCTCACCCTGTGCCAGGCCTGATATTAGGCATTATATATTAATTTAATTCTCACATAGACTCTGAAGTAGGTACTACTATTATTCCCATATTCCAGACAAAGGAACTGTGATATAGCACAAGGTATGTTGGAATCCATAGTCCATGCTTCTGATCTCAACACTGGATCTCTAACTTCAACGCCCTTTAGAATCACCTGGAGGGGTTGATAAAAATGCAAATTACTGGGCCCCACCTCAGAATTTCCGATTCAGCAGGTTTGGGGTGCAGCCAGAGAGTCTGTAGTTCTGACAGTTTCCCAGATATCCCCGGTGCTGTTAGACCTCAGACTGCACTTGGAAAACCACTATACTTTTCAACACTTAAAAGTTATCTGGAATATGAAGGACATGAATAAGCCAAGAAATTCGATTGTCTAAAATTTATTCTCATTACTTTCAAACAAAGGAATGGAGAGTCACTGGGGTTAAATCTATAAGCACTGCAGTTGCCAGGTGGAGTTTTTAGTTAGAAAATATTTCCTTGGGGATAGAAGTTCGGGTGTAATGTCTTGGCGAAAAGTTGAGAATTGCTGGAAAAAAGCAAACAATCAGTAGAAAATTGCTCTCAGGTTTCTTCCTTGGATAATGGGTATCATTAAGGGAAGCGTTTAGCATTGGCCTGGCTAGGAACATTGGAGGACTGTGGAGAGAACCTAGATTCTAGGCTGGGAGAGTTAAGGCTGGAGGACATTAGGCGTTCTCTTGCTGAAGTGTGTGATTCAGGTGTTCCACACACATAAAGGGATTTGTGGTTAAATAATTTTGGAAGGATTTGCCTACCGGAGCTGGAGCTGAGCCCCCAAACACCCCATTGTTTTCACTCTTTGGAGAGCCACATTGCACATGTGTTTACTACAGTTTCTGAGATGTCCTACAGTTATAAAACTTGCTTGACTGTAGCTATATATACGTGTGTGTGTGTGTGTGTGTGTGTATGTGTTTAGCCTTTTTGTGACATTCGAGAACACTTTGAGGAGTGCTGATCTGGTCTAAACTCTACACTTTATATCTGGTGAGATAAAAGGATCAAAAAGCTTGAGTAACTTGTTCAAGGTTACTGAGCCAGTAACAAGGTGAGAACTGGAAACAAGCTTTTGTGAATCTTTGTCCATTTTATGGGTAGGTATCTCTCTTCGTGGTCATGCTATATGTTGAGATGAGTTATCCATCTCACTGGCTACTGAAGACAGGGTGGCATAGAATAGTGTGACCCCTCTCCCCTCATCCAACCGCAGCACCCCTATCATCAGAAATTCAGCTTCTCAGGCTCCACACTTGAGCTACTGAACCAGAATTTCTGGGGGTGCAGTTCCCAAGAACCTGTCTTCCAAAGAACTCCATTTCCCCAAGCCGTTCAGTAGCTGGAGTTTGCCAGTGATGCCTTGGCAAATTGGAGAGGTGCCCCTCTCACCCTACGATGCATTAGAAAAGCAACAAGTGTTCCTTTACAGACCAATCCACATTTGCACTGCATGTAAGCATGTAATAATGCAATTTGCCTCTGCGGTCAGATATGTAGCTTTTTTCCTATGTTTCTATTCCATTATTGTTGTTTGAAATTCCACAAGTACTAAAAAAAAAAACCAATTGTTTTCCATCTCTAAATGTGGTTTGCATAGTTGTTCCCTTTACTCCTCGATGCGAATTCTTTAAAAACTGTTTTTAAATCTCATAGAACATCAACCCTTCTCTACTCGACAAAGACAAGTTTAAACAGATACTGGGCTCAACAGGGGACTCATTTTCCATTTTCCATGGCAAAGAATCTGAACACTGGAATAAGCCAGAGGTATCATTTGCTGAATATTTTCATAAAGACAGTTTAATTTCAGGCCCTTTATTTGTGAGAGAGCTGGCTAACCCAAATAAAACATTACACATCTGTCTGTTGTTACGAGTGACCAACCTCAGCTGAACATTATTACTTAATAACAACTAACTTCCCTGTAGAGTGAGAGTGCCACAGCGGAGGGCAAATGGAAATTTCCTGTGGTTTACCACCCTCGGCCTCTCCCTGCTCCAACATGTGAAGAACTTGGGTAATAAGCATATTCTCCCTCTAATCACAGCGTGGCTTGGACATGCATTGTTGTGAGATGACTGGCAAAACAGGAACACTGATGTCTGGAAGTAAGTGGGGAGGGGGTGAGGAGGCGAATTGTACTGTGTCAGCCTCCATAATGCACTGCTCAATTTTCTTTTTCTTTTTTTCTTTTTTTTTTTTTGAGATAGAGTCTGTCTCTGTCACCCAGGCTGGAGTGGAGTGGCACGATCCGGCTCCCTGCAACTTCCACCTCCCAGATTCAAGCGATTCTCCTTCCTTAGCCTCCCAAGTAGCTGGAATTACAGGTGTGCACCACCACACCCAGCTAATTTTTGTATTTTTAGTAGAGATGGGGTTTTACCATGTTGGCCAGGCTGGTCTTGACCTCAAGTGATCCTGACCTCAAGTGATCCACCTGCCTCGACCTCCCAAAGTGCTGGGATTACAGGTGTGAGCCACCGTGCCTAGCCCCAATTTTCTCTTTAGGAAAGAGATTTCTTCAATAGACTCGTGGAATTTCACTATTTTTGTCTGGATTAGTCCAAACCTAAAACAGAGGAGAAGATGGCTCAAAACAGTACCATTTGGTTAAGGAGAAGGAAATCCACAGCATTTGGGTTTGTCTGACTGTGGCGTAAGTCAGAGTGGAAGGCTTCTGTTTTTGCAGACAATACTGGTTGAGAAGCAAGTATTTTATTTTATTTATTTATTTTCGACAGTCTTGCTCTGTTGCCCAGGCTGGAGAGTGCAATGTTGCGATCTGGGCGCACTGCAGCCTCCATTTCCTGGGCTCAAATGATTCTTGCGCCTCAGCCTCCCAAGTAGCTGTGATTAGAGGCATGCACCACCATACCTGGCTAATTTCTGTATTTGTAGTAGAGATGGGGTTTAACCATGTTGGCCAGGCTGGTCTCGAATTCCTGACCTCAAGTGATCTGCCCACCTCGGCCTCCCAAAGTGCTGAGATTACAAGTGTGAGCCACCATGCCTGGCTTAATGTGTTGTTTTATTTAATGACACTTCAAAGTGGACATGGTTGGAACATTCACAGGAGATGACACGTGGGAAGTAAGTAGTGATGCTGGTTTTCTTAAATCCTGTTTCTGTAAAACATGAGAAGCTGCTTGAGACTGGATCATGCCTTTTTAGGCCGCATCATCATATAATTTGCAATACTTCCAAATTGATTTTCCCTTAAATAAACCTCAATCTCTCACTAAGATATTGAGTCTGCCACTTTTTACCACTCACATTTATCTTTCTTTGCTTCACATTTATAATATTTTGCACTGTGATGAAGGCATGGAAACATAGAAAGCACGTTATAAATATGGGTACCAATTTCAGGCTGGCTTGTTTTCTGGCCTCATGCTGACTACTACATTTTCTTTTATTTGAAATAAATGTGGAGTTGTCAGTCTCTGTAAATTGATGACTAATGGGCTTTGATGTAATTCACCTGCATGCAAAGGTAAACTTGTTATCTTTATTGGCATTCATATTAGTTATTAGCATGAATCTCATCCCAGGCAATGGAAATTACGACTTGTGCTTGATTTAAAACCAAGTTATTTAACAATGGGATGAATGTCAAAAAGTTTTGAAATTCAGTCTCACTATCAGTCTACATTTTGACCACATTTCTCTGATACAGAAATTGTATCTCGGTGAAACACAGTTTATACCAAAATCTGCTTTAAAGACTGGTAGTATTTCTCAGTTGTTTGCTTGTCGCAAAGTTGAAAACAGATTCTGTGATCATTGAGTGATAATAAGAAATGTAGAACTTAAAAATCTCTTCACATTCAATAAAAAATTAAGACATTTGGCAGTTAACTAATTTCCATCACTGTACAGTGTAAGAAAACACATTCTAACCATCTGTAGTTAATTAGCCGGAGGACTATTGGCCCAAATTTGATGTTTTTAGAGTTGCCAGATAAAATACAAGATGCCCAATTAAATTTGAATTTCAGATGGACGGCAAATAACTTAGTGTAAGTCTGTCACATGCATTATTTGCTATATGCTTATACTAAAATTATTGTTTATTTGAAATTCAGAGATATATATGTACTATTTACATACATGTATCTATAGATATACATAGTACAGAGTGGCCGTACATTTGTATTTGCTAAATCTGCTAAATCTGGCATCCCTAGGGAAATGCAAACTTGTGCTCAAGAGTCATTCCTAAGGCCAAGAAACTTAAAGACAGGGTTTAACGTAAAGACATTCTTCTTGGAGGAAAAAAAGCAATCCAGATTTTCCCAGTACTAAAAACTCTGAAAACAAATCTAACCATTGTGGGATGGGGGCATAGCCTTTTCATGCATGGCTTAGCAGAGGTGTCAGAAAAGCTAAGAAGTTTGTCTCGTTTTTAAGATATTAGCTTAGGGGCTCTTAACATTTTATGTTATGGTCTTTTTTTGGTGGACTAGTGAGACACATGCCTGCCTTCTCAGAATGAACTGTTCAAACAGATAAAAGCAAAGTCACAAAGATTACAGAAGACACCAATGATATTAAAATGCACCTATTATGGTACTGAAAAAACAAAATTATACGTTTCCAAGCATTAAATCAGAGCTAATGTTCTGAAGGTGTGGTGAGCAGCAATGTTATTTCAAGGTCTCTGAAATGGCTGGAATGTGATATTGAAATGTCTGTGATTTCCACTATGACAAAGTCACAGTTGTAGCTAGTACATCTGTGGTTTGTTGCACACACTCAATACAAATTTTAGTTAGAGGCCATTTAAAATAAACTGCTGTTCTTTTCCCCTCATGTGAGATCGTGGATTCTCCTGAGTTCTACCCATATATTCTCCAGGCTTCATAGCCCTGGGATTAAATCTGACTGTGGATGAAGTTTCTAAATGCTGTAGATATTACCAGTAATTCTGGTAATACCACAGAATCAGACCAACCTATAGAATTTTCCTTGATTTATTCCACTTGTACACAATCTCTTGACATGTTTAACAGCCATCTCAGATACTGCGTCTTTTATAAACATTGGCTGCACGCTTAACAAAATCACAGCTAATCCCCTTTCCAGTAGGATATCCTTGCAGGCACTAATGTTAGTAATGAACATCACATTGGTGCTCATGTGACTGGAACAGTAAGACCAATGAGGAGACATTCCAACATCTTCTACTCTAGAAGTAATGGTACAGTTTCTTCTGACATTAAAAACAGAGGGGGAAATAACAGAAAACAGCTCAGATACATACGTAATGCTTGGTCTTCATAGCCTTACTGTAGCACTTCTCAGAAGTAG